ACCCCCTTTTCTCTTGCACACGGAGTCGAAGCCATGGCTCCAGCTGAGGTGAATGTTTCTAGTCTCCGGCGTTCTCAAATGCCGCAACACGTCGAACTCAATGAGGACATGCTCCTCAATGCGCTCGATGAACTGGAGGAACGTCGCGATCAAGCATTGCTCCGAATCCAAAACTACCAACACCAGATTGAGAGTTATTACAACAAGCGGGTCAAAGCAAGACCACTCGCACTCGGAGATCTTGTACTCCGCAAGGTATTCGAGAACACCAAGGAGCTCAATGCCGGCAAGCTAGGCGCACGATGGGAAGGACCATACAAAATCATCAAAGTCATTAAACCAGGCGTCTACCGACTCCAAACTTCACACGGTGAAGATGTCCCAAGGGCATGGAACTCCGCGCATCTTCGCCACTACTATTCGTAGGCCAGTCGGCTAATCCCCTCCTTCTAGCTCCCAAAAAAAAAAAAAAAAAAAAAATCGAGTAGATGCACCCTAGTTGTCACTTCTACTCGCCCGAGTAAATGAGCCTTAAAACGAACTACGAACGGCTTGATCCTCTTTGGAGGTACGTAGGTAGCCTTAATCGGTCCAGCTGTAACAACCAAAAACAAACGAGTAGATGCACCCTAGCTGTCACTTCTAGTCGCCCGAGTAAATGCGCCCTAAAAGAGCCACTTTTGCTCGGGTAAACCGAACTACGAATGGCTTGATCCTCTTTCGAGGTACGTAGGCAGCCCTAATCAGGCGCAGCCGTAACAACACCAAAGTCCAAACTTTGTAATGACCAAACGCGGTCAAGGCGATATCCACATTCTCGTCTGCAGACGAGAACACAGATACTCNGCCACTTTTGCTCGGGTAAACCGAACTACGAATGGCTTGATCCTCTTTCGAGGTACGTAGGCAGCCCTAATCAGGCGCAGCCGTAACAACACCAAAGTCCAAACTTTGTAATGACCAAACGCGGTCAAGGCGATATCCACATTCTCGTCTGCAGACGAGAACACAGATACTCGCACCCACAAATCAGCCATGTCCTGATTAGACACTTGGTTGAGGGACCAAAAGTTGCATCCCATCAGGATCGACATGTGAAGGAAGACAGGACCGCTATCCGACTAAACGAGTAAATGTTTTGGCCGACTAAACTCGTTAGGTCACCGACTAGCCGGTCTGGAACCTTTCTTTCAGGAACAAATATGCGCAAATAGTGGTGAACTTGGGATAAACTCTCAAACACTTAACCATATTTTATAGAAAATCTTGGATTGAAGCACGCTCAGAAGGCGGCAAACCGAGTTAAAGTCTTACAACGAAAGACCCAGCAGGATCTCAACAAAAAAAAAGATAACAGAAAATTCCTAACGTAAATAGCAATACAACAACAAGAGGCGATCAAACGTCTTCCTTGGAGCCGGAAGGATCCCCAACGCTGGTAGCAGCCAACTCCGGTCCTGACCCCGTCACAATTTCGCTGTCTTCAACAATAGTAGGATTTTCCACAAGGTCAGTCGCAGACGCCGGCTCGTCCCCATCAACTCTCTCAGGTGACTTCTCATGCTCGACCAGAGTCTCCCCTTGATCACCCGACGGCTCTTCAGCCCCGTCGTCACCTTCCTTTTGAGATGGAACCGTATCAGTTGGAATCTCTTGCGACCTGCCGGTAGATTCGTTCCCAAGAGCTTCGCCTGACGTCCGGAGCTGCGAGGCTGTCTCCGATCTAACCAAATCGTCGTTTGACCCATACGGATCGAGCGTAGCCGCGAATTCTTCATTCACAAACCGAGAAGGAAGAACCAGCGGAGACAGAGTGAGATCAGCATCAGATAAAGGGGGTACGTTCAATTTGGCAACGTTGGCTTCATGCTCCTTTTCTTGACCGCCGAAGACGTCAATCAGCTCCTGCGTGATACCAACCTTTTCCTCCTGGATCATCTCGAGACATTTCCTTGTCCCAGAAGCCTGATCGAACAAGCTTTGTTCCCGGTCAACGAGATTGCGGCGATCAATGTAAACCCGGACACGATCAAGACAACGGTTAGCTTTCTCGATCATAGCCGCCTCAACACGCGCCCTTTCGCGCGTAACCTCCTGGCTCCGCGAGTCCCTCAGACGCTGCCTTTCACTGATCAGTTTTTGCGTCACGGCATCCCTTTCAGCCTGAAGCTCTGCCTTCTCTTGCTCCAGTGCGGCATTGGCCTTCTCAAGACTCGCTTTCTCCCGTGTGAGCAGTTTTTTCGCAGCACGGTCAGCCTTCAATATCTTCTCGAATCCGACAAACTTCTCACGAAGGATCTCCTTCTCATTCCTGTAGTCAGCCTTGATCTGTTCGATGACGCCGAGTCTCTTGCGAGCAAGCTGCTCAGAATTTCCAAGTAGAACCATCGTCTGCTTTAGAGTCCTATCGTACTTCTCGACAAGGACGTTCATGTTCCCATCAGCCTAAAAGTAAACAAACGTCGAGAGATCAGCGTGAGTAAAGATAAAACCATAATCATCAACACTTTAATCAAAGCACGTACCCGTCTGTTCGCCAGCGCTGCTTCCGTGTACTCGTCCTTGAAGAAAAGATCTTTAACTTGAGGCATCTCGATCGGCCCACCTCGGATCTGTCGAGTAAGATCCGCGCACCTATCCGGATTGTGTACCAACGGAGTCTTTTCATCGTATGAGAAGTTCACACGGTCCGCAAACTCAATCAAGGGTCTCTTACCGAGCGAACCTCCGGATCGACTCCTTCTCTCGAGAATACCGGTTCGAGAGGGATCTACCGGTCGACTACACGCCTCAATCTCATCGTTGACGTTCGACGTTCCCGTAGTGTCGTCGACAACCTTCTTCTTCTTTTTCTTCCTCGGACTTTCTCCCGGACCTCTTTCTTCAAGGTTGTTCCCGGTGGGACCGCCATCGATGGAATTTTCACGGGACCTCTTTCCCTTCTCCTTCTCCCCGACATCTGAACCGCCTACATGCCCTTCGAGAGGAGTACCCTCTGTCGATGATGGTACTTTCTTCGTTGCTTGGCTCTTCCGCTTTTTCTTCTTCTTCGCTTCAGGAGCTGGCGGATCAACGTCAGTAGACTGATCATTCGGGTTCGGGTCGAGTGGCTGAGAAGCTTCAGCGTCGTTACCCCCAGCCGTTGCGACCTTAGAAGTCGCCTTCTTCAGCATCTGGAGTTTCCCCTTTAGCAGAGCACTCAAATCCGGTCTTCCCGACATCTTTCTCGCTTGCTTGAGTAGTTTCTGTTGTTTCCTGGTAAACAAGGACAAGCGAGACTTGCGTGCCGAGACTATCAGCGGCTGTCTTGATTCCCAATCGACTGCGAAAGCAGAAAGAAGAAAGACAATTGTTAGTCTGTCAGCCAGAACCTAAAGTTGGATATAAAAAAAAAAAAGAAATCTTTACCTCTCTCTATGCGAGCCTGTTGTCGACGAATCCACTGACGACTCAGATCCGGCCAATTCAGGTGGCTCTGGGTTGCAATTGCCTGCGCGATCTCGAAGAAGTTTTCCGGGTACGCGATTGTATTCGGATGACGACCTGCAAAAACATAAGGCAAGATTAGATAACCGACGACCATAGCGAACAACACGGTGCTCGATTTCTACCGATTTCTTTGTTCCATAACACCGGGAAGTCGTCTTCAATGGCCTCCGCAAACGCGTATTTATCGGCCTTGACGTAGAAGTACGAACGCTGCCAGTTCGTTGTCTTACGGGGCTAACCGGTCAATACGTTATAACTTGGACGCATCTTCACGGAGAACAAACCCCCTCTTTCCGCCTTCGTAGAAGTCAATTCTTCGAAGACTCTCACACTCATTGGGACATCTATCTCCGCAGCCATCACCATCAGCATAACAGCGTTCCGAATCGAACCTATCTTCAACTGGCTGATCGCTACTCCCCGCCTCCTTGCATACGCCGAAATCAAACGCGGGACTGGAAACCAGAGCTTCGAGTCATCCTCGAAGTACGACTCGTACAGACATTGGAAGCCGACTGGAGGGGACCAAGGTCTCTGCTCCTGGGTAGGAATCGCGTAAGTCACGCCAGTTCCTCTGGAAGATTGCAGAATACTTCTTATGGTTAAGTGATTAGATCGAGTTCCGAAGACATTCTCCCAGCGTTGGCCTTCTGCCCAAGGATCCCGCGCCGATTCCGGAGGAAGAGCGTTTAGCTCCTCGAAGGTGCCATCGAGATTAAGAATGGTCGGCTTGCATTCGATCAAATCGAATCTAACGATGCGATGCCTTAACCATAGAGTTCGAGGGCTCTGATCCGGTGATGCCGTGTCCTCACCATCCTCATCGGAGCCCAAACTCTCGGCATCCTCCTGATCGGACTCGTTACCCGAGCGACTAGAATCTCCCTCTTCACTCTCTTTTTCGCCGGCTAAATCGCCCTCCTCCCGCTCAGACCCGCTAGCCGCGCGACTTGAACTGCCCTCTTCACTCTCTTCTTCGACGGCTAAGTCATCCTCCTCACTCGCTAAATCCGTGGCCGAGTCTTTGTGCGGCTCGAGCCTCTCCCCACGCAAAGCGTCGCGATGAATTAAACTGAAGTCTTCTATTGGACTTCCATTCGCTGTAACATCATCGGTTTGACCGGCGGCACAGGCAATCCCTTTGCCTTTTTCCTCACGAGATAATCGCCCCGACGAAGCCATAACCCGAAGCAGAATACTTAGAGAGAGAAATCTAAAAGTAGAGAGAAGGGAGAGAAGAAAGTACCTGAGCTTGCAGAGAAGAATAATGAAAGAGGGAGAGAATCTACCTATTTATAGCAAAGTCCTGAGGCACGACTCTCTAAGTGCAATTAATGCATTTAAATGGGCCTAAATAAGCCCATTAACTGCAGAAACCCAAAAGATTATCCAAGATCTATTAACCCTTAACCTAATTCAGTTTGGTTAAGCCCTTAAACCGGTTTACTCCAACCGAGATTAAACCGGAGCTAAACCGAGCAGCGACTGAGATTGAACCAGAAGACGATTAGATGCTGAACTTGCATCTCAACTCGGATGATCTACTCAAACTAAGTGTTACTCCACGAGTAATGACTTAGTTAATTTGCTAGACGAATTGAGATGTGATGTCTTTATGAGACAATAGGAGACACACTAGCCGCGAGACTAGATGCGCTCAAGGTGTCGCCTAAACACACTCTCACAGGTATCAACTCAGTCATGCTACTAAATAAGCTCAAGATGACGCCTTGACGCGACAATATAAGACCTCCTAGTCGCGAGACTAGACTTGCTCGGAATGTCGCCTAAGTGTGCTCTTGGTCGACATTCTAGTCGCGAGACTAGACACGCCCGAGGTGTCGCCTAGATGTGCCCGTGATCAACGTTCTAGTCGCGAGACTAGATACGTCCGAGGTGTCGCCTAAACCCGCTCTCACAGGCACCAATTCAGTCGTGCTATTAGACGGGCCCAAACTGGTGCATTTACGCGACAATGGAGGACATTCTAGTCGCGAGACTAGACATGATCGACGTTCTAGCCGCGAGACTAGACATGTCAGAGGTGTCGCCTAAACGTGCATTCTTGCAAGTTTCCCATTTGATCAAACCTGGCCCACAAATTCACTTAGAGTCCTGCGGACTCGTAAGTGAACTGGGGGGACTTATTGTAGGAGATGGGTTATACCCCTCCACAAGGCCCATCAAATGAAGAAACTAAACCCAACATGACGATATACTCGGCCCACCGGGTGACACTAAAACGACTCGGCATGAGACGCGTTTAGTAGCGCGACTAAACGTGTTCTAGAAGAGTCGGCGGAAGTACGATTTACCCGGACTACTAAACGGGACTAGCAATAATAAGGCCCAACAAGGCTCGGGTAAACTAGGGCGAACACGAAGATTGGATCTATAAAAGGAGAGAGGCAGCAAAGGGAAAAGGGGATCCGGAATTCGACATACTCACTTGGCGGCTAGATCTAGGGTTTCTTAGCGATTAGGTGGTTAGATCTAGGGTTTACTCACCCTCTCGTTTACTCACCTTCCTGTTTAGTCACCGTCTTGTTTAGTCACCCTCCTGTTTAATCACCTTCCCGTTTACTCACCATCTTGTACTTCCGGCTAGTCCGCCTCTTTACTCTTCTCTTTGTAACTCCTTGTTCAGATCTAATAAAACGTCTTTGTTCGCCCTCATCTCTCTTTATATTGTTCGAACCATTTTCACCTCAAACAGAGGTCGATGTGATTGTTGTTTCATTTGGGGGTTCAGACTGAGTTAGACCTAATTTTGATTCGATTTGAAAGATCTTTTTATATGAAAAGTACTGTTTTTTTTTTTTGCAGAGGGCTAACGATGGAGATGAAGTATTCAATTCAATCAGTTCGTTGCGTTTGGTGTTTCCAAAATGCAGTTTACTTGGATCTCAAAGAACCCATCATCTTTAAAATCTCAACTTCTTTAAATTCTATCAGAGGATTGGAGTTGAAACCTGTTGCTTCTGTACGGTCATTGTACAATATGTGTTTGAGATTCGTAGCAAACAAAGACTTTTAAAGATGAAGGCTATGAAGAAAGAGACTGAAGCTGATAGGATGGTGAAAGAAGAGGAAAGGAGAAGGAAGATTGGGTTAGCTAATAAAGGAAAGGTTCCATGGAACAAAGGCATCAAACACACTCAAGGTTTGAACTATACAAAGTCTTCATCTTTTTTTTTTTTAATCTTTTTGTTAAGTGATAGTTTGATCATCAACCTCTTAAGCAGACACTCGAAGACGAATCAAGCAGAGAACTATTGAAGCTTTGAGAAACCCCAAGGTGATGTCAAGTAAGACTCTTTCAAATCTATTCCTACACGTTAAGGTGACAAAACCCATATGGCAAAGTTTTAACTCTTTACCATCTCTTTTCAGGTTCGGGATAAGATGTCTGGCAAAGTACCTTCATTGTTTAACTGTTTGACACCACAATGCTGAGTTTGTCTCTTTTCAGTGATGAAACCAAGGAGAAGATAAGAGCTTCAATGAAACAAATTTGGGCTGAAAGCTCAAGATCCAAGAGATTAATGGAGAATTTCACTTCATTGTGGTCAGAGAGCATTGCAGAAGCTGCAAGGGAAGGAGGAAGTGGCGAAGTGGAACTCGATTGGGATAGCTTCGAGAAAGCAGAACTAGAGATTTCATCTGAGCAGCAGTTTCAGTTGGCTGAAGAGAAAGCAAGAACAAAGGAACAAACCAATATGAGAGCAGAAGAAGTCAAGACTGAGAAGAAGATGAGGAGAGTTGTGGAAAGAAAAAAAGAACGCCAAGAGAGAGACCAACGAGGAGGAAACACTAGAAAACTAAAGCAGAACAAAGAGAATGCAACCGTTGCCTCACGTTCTAAACTGAAGAAAAGACTCACAAAGGTAAAGAAAAAAAAATATTCCTTGGACACGTAAGACAAAACATGAAACTAAGGAATATTCTTTTTATCAATTCCTACTTATTCCTTAAAAAATACACCTTTCATAAGGAATATTTCATGTGTATGATTCCTTGTCATTCCTTGAATTCTAAGGAATTATAGAACAAAAACATTTCTTATCAAAATTGATATGGAACCAAAGTAATAAATATTCTTTTTCATTCATTTTATTTTGTTCCTACTTATTATTTTTCTACTCATTCATATTCCTATTTTAATGGTCACCAGTTAGAACCTTGATGATGATGATTCTTGTCAGATTCACAAGAAGAAAACAAATCTTGGTAGAATCGCTATTGGGAAGGTAGGGTAGTTTCAGTTGCAGCCAAGCTGGAGAAACTAGATTTGGAAATGATAATGAAAGAGAGAAGAAGAGGAGATATCTGGCTTGCTGACCAGATCGAAGCTGCCAAGAACCAACGAGGAAACGATTTTTCATCAAGATTTGGTCTTTTTTGCCATGAATTCAGTTGACTTTGGTTGATTCTTTTCAACTCATAGTTTATAGAACTGTTTCTTGTTCCACTAAATACTGATATAAGACATACGATAAACAAAACAATTATTAATACGAGTGCTCAAAACTAACTCTCAGTTTCCTACACAAACTAGAGTGAGCTGACAAACACTGACCACAGTAGTATCAGTCTCCTTTCATGTTTGATGCTGTACTCCCTGATAGTCTTCTGACCCATGTTTGCGGGTGGTGAAGGAGGTCTTCTGTGGTTCTGACTCATGTTCGGTGGTAGCATATGAGGCGGATGCAGGTGTCATTGCATCTGATACTTTAGGTCATAAAACAGACTTTCCATCGTATGAAAGGTTCTCCTGAAAGAGTTATTCAGAAACGTAAACTCTCATCATGTAAAAAACAAAAACAAAATCTTGATGTACTTAACCAAGTTCAGCTATCAATTACCAAATTAAAAGAGAAAATTAAGTAAGAACATTTTATCAATAATAATTCACTATTATAATCCTCTGTATGAACCCGCTAAATGACTCAGAGGTTACGGAACACGTCATGAGATTTATAGGTATGTAACCACCAAACCAAGTTCCCTCTCTTTTAATAAAATAAGAGAAAAATAATTAGCTAAAACAAGTTCACCAACAAGACAAACGTTTTACGGTCAAGTTTTCCGCTCACCCGTATTTGAGAATCTCCATAAGAAACCAATCTCTTTACTCTCTTTTTTCTCTTGTTAATTCTTGTTAAACAAGAAATTATCTCTTTTTAACTAATTATTTCTTTCTACCTCTTCACAAGTTCAAATCCCAATTAAAGAAAAGGACAAAATGTTTATAACTTTTTAGATATTTAAAATACAAAAGGCAGTACATTTCATCCACATATAAATTTATTTGACTTGTTATTTTTGAACAACTGGGATGCATTTGGCTATATCTAAATGTTTTTCAAGAAACAAATGTTTTACTAATCACATTAAACCTTTTCTTTTAATCATATTCAACTTGGAATAATAAATATCTTTGATATTCTTTTGTACCAGTCAATGCTTTTCAGTTTTTCATGGAAGGCAACGAGAGGACGCTATTAAAGTCTCAAGCTTTCAAAATGTTTGAATACAACTAAAGTGAGGTTCCTTAAAGTTTGGTGCGTTAGTTCATCCTCTCTACCATTTATTCTTCACTTAATCTCACACACTTCTGCTCATTTTGTTTGATTTCTCTTATCTCTCAAAAGCTTGATGCTTTCTTTCTCCCTCTTTCTTTCTTAGATGGAGTTACCGGTGAAAGCTCCCGTTTCTGGTGGCCGGAAAATCTCTTATAGACTAGAAACCAAGAACCTATCATACAGATTATGTGGAACCACTTCAAAGTTTCCAAATCTTTGTGGTTTGTTGAATGAAAAGGAAGAAAAGGTTATCTTGAAGGATGTTTCTTGTGATGCAAGATCCTCAGAGATCACTGCCATAGCAGGTCCTAGTGGAGCTGGGAAGACAACGTTACTAGAGATACTTGCCGGAAAAGTTTCTCAGGGGAGAGTTTCAGGGCAAGTGCTTGTCAATGGGAGGCCTATGGATGGTCCTGAGTACAGGAGGGTTTCAGGGTTTGTACCACAAGAAGATGCTCTGTTTCCGTTTCTTACGGTGCAAGAAACACTAACATATAGCGCACTCCTGAGGCTGAAGACCAACAGGAAAGAGGCGGTTGCGAAGGTGAAGAAGCTGATGGAAGAACTCGGTCTTCAACATGTCGCGGATTCGAGGATCCGGGAAGGATCAAGATCTGGGATCTCTGGAGGTGAGAGAAGAAGGGTTTCTATTGGAGTTGAGCTTGTTCATGACCCAAATGTTATACTGATCGATGAGCCAACCTCTGGTCTGGATTCAGCTTCTGCTCTTCAAGTTGTAATGCTTCTCAAAGACTTGACAATCAAACAAGGTAAAACCATTGTCCTGACGATTCACCAGCCCGGTTTTCGCATTCTCGAGCAGATAAACCGGATAGTGTTGCTCTCTAGTGGACTGGTTGTTCAGAACGGATCGGTTAATAGCCTTTATCAGAAGATCAAGTTCTCTGGTCACCAGATTCCTCGCCGTGTAAATGTCTTGGAGTATGCTATTGATATTGCAGGGAGCCTTGAACCAGTCATGACACAGAGTTGCAGAGAGATCTCGTGTTACGGTCATGGCAAAACATGGAGGAGTAATAATGCAGGAAGAGAGTTTCATCAATCTGACTCTCACAGCAACTCGGTGTTAGAGGAGGTGAAGATACTTGGGCAAAGATCTTGCAAGAACATCTTCAGAACCAAGCAACTGTTCACAACCAGAGCTTTACAAGCCTCCATAGCCGGTCTAATACTGGGTTCCATTTACCTGAACGTTGGAAACCAAAAGCAAGAAGGGAGAGTCTTGCGAACTGGGTTTTTCGCCTTTACCCTCACGTTTCTGCTCTCTTCCACAACAGAGGGACTTCCAATATTCTTACAAGACAGGAGAATCCTAATGAGAGAGACATCGAGAAGGGCTTACAGAGTTTTGTCTTATGTTTTAGCAGATACCCTCATCTTCATCCCCTTCCTGTTCATCATAAGCATGCTTTTCGCTACACCGGTTTATTGGCTGGTCGGTCTCAGAAGAGAGTTAGACGGGTTTCTCTACTTCTCGTTGGTGATATGGATTGTTCTTCTCATGTCAAACTCCTTTGTTGCATGTTTCAGTGCTCTTGTCCCAAACTTCATCATGGGGACATCAGTGATCTCAGGTCTCATGGGGTCTTTCTTCCTCTTCTCTGGCTATTTCATCGCAAAGGACCGGATCCCGGTTTACTGGGAGTTCATGCATTACCTCAGCCTCTTCAAGTATCCATTCGAGTGTCTGATGATCAACGAGTATAGAGGAGACGTGTTCTTGAAGGAACAAGACCTGGAGGAGTCTCAGAAATGGAGCAATCTTGGAATCATGGCAAGTTTCATCGTTGGCTACAGAGTCCTGGGTTTCTTCATCTTGTGGTACAGATGTTACAGAACAAAAAGCTAGGTTAATAACAACAATTTCTGCATCTATAATTCAATTTGTTTCAATTTGTTTTGTGATTTATATAGAACAGAGTAACGTATTTTATTTTATAAGACATTATTAAGCAGCACACTTAGTACAAAGGTCCAGTCACAGATAGTTTGATACTAAAGCCATTTTGTCTTACCTAAGATACTCACATCGCTGAGTTTACACAAGAGTTGCCTTTGCGACCTGAAGTCCTTTCTCGCGCCCATAAAGGACGACATTTGCTTTCGCCCGCCTCAGGAAATCGATGATAGAAACAGCTTCCATTGATTTCCATAAAAACCGGACAACACTGTCGCCTACAAGTAACAAATGTGATTCTCATACACCAAATACAAACTCCAAACAAGAAAAAGCAAAATGTGATCACAGCGGGGCACAGCAGATAGCAGCATTAAGTCGTCCATCAGTTCTTAAGAGTCTCTCCCCCAGGAAGCCCCTACTCCCATCCCAAGAAAGAACCACTAATCATATGCATATATACTAATCAGAATCAAGATATAGAACTAATGAATTCAAAATCTGGAATCAAAAATAGATTTGGCTATTCAATCTGAATCCCTAATTGCTCAGTTACGTGCTCATGAGATTGGATTGGAGACGTACAGTGGGAGCATTATAAGATCCAAATCTTGATTCCTTGAACTCCTACCATGTAGGGGACGGATTCCATCCTGCCCTCAAGGCCCATCGAATAAAAGCTACAGCCCGTTACTCGGCCCAAGTAGACGAGGAAGGTTATTGCCCGCAAGAGGACAAGGAACTCGGAGCCTAGTACACGTCATCATTCCATCCCAAGTAAGCAGATTCAGCTCGTCTAGAGGCCCACGGGACAAAGGACACGTCCCATTAGGGTTGTCCGTACAATGACCTATAAAGGCGAAGAGAAACCAAACTTAGAAGGGATCCGAAAATACACTGACTAGGCGGCAGCTAAATTAGGGTTTTACTCATCTTGTTGCTCTTAGATCGGTCCGTACAACTCCGGTAGCTCCCGAGCACCGTAGTTCTCTTTGTACTCATCCCCTATACATTATTTGTGAAGTGATTTTCCACATGTACTCTCTAGAATCAGTTTCATAAAAAAATGGTGACATGTCTACTAGAATTGATGACATTGCATATGATTAAATATGACATAGATAATTGCATTTAATGTTAATATATATTTTTGGAAAATTTTATAAAATATGGTAACAATTCATACATTACATTTAATGTCGATTAATATTTTTGGAAATATTTTTAAAATATGGTAATAACTAATAAATCATCATTAAAATAAATATATACCAATATGGCATTAAAAATTTCGAAAATATCATTTAATTATATCTTTTAAAACTATACAATTTTATTACAAAAATTTCAAAAATGTATACATTTTTTGAAAATTATTAAAAGTTAATGATAAAATTATTAATTTCTAATATATTTAAAAATTTAATAAATATTGTCTAATTTTAATTTTGATAATTATAAAATTTTCTACAAATTTATTTAATATATTTAATTAAAATAAATAGATAAAAAAATTATCTAAGATTATAATTTTAAAGATATACATGCATATTCTTAAATATAATTTAAAATAAACAAAAATATTTTTATATTACTTTTTATGTTTGATTAAACAAAAAATTGTATTAAAATAGTGATAAGAAAAAGAACTCATAAATTATAATACTATTACAAATATTGAAATATTTTTAAGTGTATTTTTATAATTATATATTTTTTATTAATAACTTTTTTTTTCAAAATTTTATGCAGTTTTTTTTTTAAATTAAAATTTTCTAATTCCAATAGCATTAGCTTTATTTATAACATATATAAATTTTAGAAATATTATTTAGTTTTATATTTTGATAATTATATATCTAACAAAATTTTCTCTTAATAGTATAGAATCTGATTTAATATAATTTAACCAAAAGATAAAAGATACATATATATTATTAAATATAAATTTAAGAAAAAAAATTTAAGATAGACCTAAAAAAGTTTTAATCACAAATATAGACCTTAAAATAAAAATGACCAAGATAGACTTAAATGTTTTATCAAAAATAAGTAAATATACACTTATATCCTTTGGGTTAACTAATCGTAAACTTTTTGTTTAAAGTTGAGGAGTGGGGTTTTGAGGATAAGATTACAAATTTTGTTAAAAAAAAAATTGAAATTTTCAAAATAAAAAATGATGTTTGGTCATTTTAGTTTTAAGATCTATTTTTGTGAAAAAACCTAAAAAAGTTCTATTCGAGAGAACTGTCATGTATTTAAATAAAACTGTTTATTTTCTCTTAATTTTTACATATAATTAATGTAAAATTCATAATATAATAAAATAATAAATTTAAAATTTAATTAATTTTTATTTTAAATATAAAGTTATTTTTAAAATTTTTATTTCTGCACATGATGCAGAAAACCACCTAGTTTCTTCTTTATAAATAAAACACTTTTTTTCCTGTTTACTCGTTCGCACCTTCGAAATAACCCACCGACGAGTTACTGTCGATTATTTACTTGTTATCACCGAACTCAGTTCAAACAGTTGGCGCCCACCGTGGGGCATAACGAAGTAGTGTGATGAACATGGCTAATGAAGAAGACTCTTCCGGTAACCAACCAGAAGAGACCCCAGTCACTCTGACTGTTGAGAGTTTCATGGACTCCGTCATGGCCCGTCTCGCTAAGCAAGACGAAACCCAGAAAGAGACAAACGCTCAGCTCGCGGCCCTCGCCACCATCCTCTCACCGCCTAACGGAGCAGCCAGAAACATCACGTCAGTCCGAAGATTTCTCTTCAACACCAACCCTACCCCGACTCCAGCTAACCAGCCGCTCCAACCCAAGGGAATGTCGGCAGACGATTCAGCTCAACCGACTGGCGGCTCAGATCACCAAACTGCGTGTGAAATAGCAGAGCTTAAACTGTCCCTCCAGACTATAACCTCCCAGATCCATCATGCTACGAGTGCTGCCCCTCAGATCGATCGCGTACTCGCTGAATCGTTGCGCACTCCTTCATGGTACGTATAAGCAGCGTCAAGATCCGTCTGACTGAAAAACTCCGACTGCCGACCTATGCCGGCGAAAGTGACCTGACGGATCACGTGACCGCTTTCAACATCGTGATGGGCAGGTCACGGTTCTCGGATGAGGAGAGAGATGCCGGCCTCTGCCAGCTTTTCATCGAAAGTCTAACCGGACCGGCTTTGACATGATTTTCCCGGCTAACCAAAAATTCCATCGACAGTTTTCATGACCTGTCATCTGCTTTCTTAAAGCATTACATCATGTTTACACGCCAGAGAGCTATGGCATCGGACCTCTGGAAGATGTCACAAACTTCCAGACAAAGCCTCAAAGAGTTCATGGGAAAATTCAAAACTCTGGCTTCCAAAATAAACGCCTCGAACAGCATGGCAGTCGAAGCACTCCAGAACGCACTATACGTTCACTCTCCATTCCGGCAAGACCTCTACCGAAGTCTGACCACATCGCTGGAGGACGCCATTGCCCGCTCTCATAACTTCATTCGCATGGAGGAAGATACTCGGGCAATATTGAACAAGCAAAACTCAGGCAAATCGAACTCAACGAAAACACACGATTCCCGACAAGATACGCGCTCGGAGCCACGTCAACGCTCTACAGGAGATTGCAACGACCGAAAAAGGTTACATTTATCACGTTGACGGGGACGAATCTCCCTCTTCTACCGTCGTAGTTGGGGGCAAAGGCTGGAAACATTACTACCGTGAAGACGATGGCACAAAATCGCCATCCGGATCAAGATCCCCACGCATAAACGAGTCCGACAAGTTTTGCAAGTATCACAACACCAAGAGTCATGATACCAAGGACTGCAGACACCTCGGCGAGTGCCTCATCGCGAAGTATGCTGCCGGAAAGATCGAGGCTGAACCTCCAAAACCGAGGACAAACACCAGCAAAAGTTGGAGCAAAAACAAGGACAAAAAGTCTCAAAATTCAAACGATAAGTCCCGACAAGAAGGAGAAGCTCGGTCCGACGACGAGGCCACTGCGGGTCGGCCCCGATATGAGCAAGCTGCCGACGAGGAGCAACCCAAGAACATGAAACGAATCCAGGTCATCCTCGCTCAAAGAGAAGTGTCGTCCAACGACGACAATGGACCTGATGATCTTGGAACACATCTTCGCTCCCGCCGCAAGGAAACGCAACCCGCCTACCTGCGCGATAAACTTAACTCAAAGAAAGCGCGAACACTGGACAACCCTAGCACCGCCCCGGCTGAGGTCCCTCGATATGGGCCAACCAATCTCCGCCCCACCTTAACTCCAACACTGGGGACCTTCGACATACGTTGGACAAAATGAAGACGCCGGACTTGCGTCAAGTGCTCGAAAGAAAGAAAGTACTCAACACTTTTCCAACGCAAACCGATCAAACAGAAACCGCACTCGACACTTGTTTAAATGTTATTATGGGGGGGGGGGTCCCCCCCCTTGCGGAGATTCGGTCCGATCAGTTAAGGCTCATCACCGTCAAGCCATAGCCTCCCAAAAATGTCTGTCTAAACCAGAAGACGGTCCATCTATCACCTTTTCCTCCGCTGACATTGTTGGTGTCCACATTCCCCACAATGATCCCTTGCTGGTAGAGATCGGGATCGGGGACTGTGAAGTAACGAAGGTCCTCATCGATATGGGTAGCTCGGTCGATATCATTTTTCTAAACACCCTCAAGAAGATGGAAATTGATCTCCGACAGATGAAGCCCTCTAATCGAACGCTCACGGGCTTCAACGGGGTTTCCGAGGAAATGATAGGAACAATCCGTCTTCGCGTGTATCAAGCGGGGTAACGAAGGCCGTGAAGTTCTCGGTAATCAATACTGTCGCGCCTTACCACTTCATACTCGGGACTCCCTGGCTCCATTCGATGAAGGCTATTTCGTCCAACCTTAATCAATGCGTAAAATTTTCTGGAATGATGGTCACATCCGTACATTACGAGGCGATCAGCAAGCGGCTTGTAAACTCTTGGTCGCCGC